CCCCAAAACCCCAAAACCCCAAAACCCCAAAACCCCTAAATATCTTAACTAAGTTGAAATTTCTTAGATAAATAAATATTAGGGGAATGGCCATTAACTCAGTCTTCTTGGTATTCATATGAGGCATGATGATCATTTCAGCCTCTTCACAAGGTATCCTGCTCAAGCTCCAGTCAACAGTGAGTCTGGGTGGCTCAAAGTTTGAACATCCATTCTTCCTGACATTCATAGTCTTTCTTGCAAACTCATTGTGAATATTGTTATATCTACTCGAGAAGGCTTATCTTACTCTCAAATATGGGAGCATCGAGCAGAGCCCAGAAATGATAGAGGCTAAGCTCAAGGGCAAACGTATTGATATGAACCCCTTGATGATGGCCATACCTATGCTGTGTGACAGCATAGCCAATCCTCTTTACATGATAGCATACATTAATATCCCTGCAAGTATAGCCCAAATGATGAGCGCACTTGTGATCTTCGTAGTCGCTCTGCTATCAATCCTATTCTTTGGCAGAAAGTATTACAGACATCATTGGCTCGGCCTCGTCTTGGTCTTTGTTGGTATCTGCCTTGTAGCAATCTGAGCGCTGATATCAAGCAAGGGCTCAGGAGCAGCAGGCAACGTACCTCTTGGAGTTATTCTGATGTTGTTCTGAGTAAGTGTAGCTGGCCTACAGTATATTATTGAAGAGAAACTTCTAGATTCTTACTATTTATCTCCTTTAAAAGCAGCAGGTTGGGAAGGGATCACAGGCACATTTCTATGGCTAGCCCTGCTCATCATCTTCCAATACATTCCTTGAGAAGCAGAAATATGTAATAATGGGAAAGTTGAAAACACTAGGGTAGCTTTTGAGTTCATGGCTCAGAGCACTCCCTTAATCCTCTTATTGGTTGGAAATCTTATCTTCACAACATTAATGACTGCGTTTAGCATGGCAGTCACAAAATATGTTTCAGCTACAGCCAAGATTATCTTAAAGCAGGTAAAGACAGTGGTAGTTTGGCTCTTTTTCCTTGTCTACAGAGGAGATGGGCATGAATCGTTCCAAGTCCTCCAACTCATTGGATTCCTGATTCTCTGAATAGGTGTCATCCTCTTCAACGAGATCCTAATAATTCCAATACTTGGATTCGACCGGAATACAAAAGCAGAGATTGCTCATAATGAAGAGTCTGAAGAGACCACAGTAGAAAACAGAGAACTATACGAACCTCTTTGTCAGAACTAAAAAGAAGGTACCTCTCTCAGAAAAATCACGTACAAATTCCCTCCTAAAATTTACTACGTAATACATTCTGATGCTGAATATCTTCTTGCTTTCAATACTCTAAAAATCCAAAGGGGTTTTGGGGTTTTGGGGTTTTGGGGTTTTGGGGTTTTGGGG